ATACATTTTACACGTTTAGATTTGTATGATGTATGGGATGATGAACAACTGCCGTCTACGTTTGAGGAAGTATTGCCTATAATCGTATTTTGATACCTGTTATTCACCATTTGAGAATTACTTTCATACACATTCTGTCGTTGTCGTTGTCTTTTGGAGCGTTTATCTGTTAAAAAAATAATACTCATAAATGTATATATCTATCCACCCCCTCGGTATACACACAAACACACACATTAACACACACATAATTTATTGACACATCAAATGAGTTATTTTCACAAACCTATTAAATGCTGTTCAACTTCTTGTGTCAACTTAGATTCAGCAACAGAGGAACCTGGATCAGATGTTTGTGTAGGCGTCATGCCACATGACAATTGTGTATATCCACTTCCAGATGTGTTACAAATAAGGATAACATCCTCAACAGATGACATAGTGATAGAATGTGCATTGTCTTGTATTGCATACACCTAACATTGCATCGTTGATGACTTCAGAACAATTAGTATTCGGGTCCTCATCATTGCTCTCTATTATCCTGAAAATGAGTTCTATGTGCACGTGAATGTGTGTATGTATATATATAAGAACATATACACATATCAATAGACAACATCTTACTAATAAAGCTTTATGGACAATAATAAGATCAAAACCCTCATCATAAATATACTTTGTTATAAGTTACAGTATAATAGATAAACATACTAAATATATATAGATACTATGATTACTCAGTGTTACAACTTCTAAAACTATAACACAATTGGATAATCATAATCCAATCATCTATGTAAATTAATCAAATATCAACCAAGCATATTCAAATTTAACACAGATGTACATAGAAAAGAGATACGTGTTTCAGTTTTTAAAGCTCATTATAACAACTTAATTCAACACGATAGGTAAAAAAGAATATGAATTTGCTAATACTTACAATGATGATCTCCTCTCCGACAATGAGATATTAATGTGTTTTTGAAAACACGATGTTGCTCTGCATAATAGCTAAAATTAAAGGCAATTAGTTTATATCAAATGATATTATCCCATTTTCTCTACAGTACACTTCAAGATTACAGTAATCATCAAGTGTTAGTTATACTTCGATATTCTAACTTTTATTTACAATATAAGTTTAAATTTCCAATAATAGTTTAAATAACTTTGTTTGAATCAAATTTTAGTGATATGGGATAAATTTCAGTCATATAATCTAGTATTTATATTTATCGACATGAAAATGCAGTACATATAATCTAGTACATATAGATTTCAATTTAACACATATGGACAAAGAAAAGACAGTACATATAATCTAGTATTTATTGACATGACAATTTTGTCTGAATTCGATTTGCACGTTGTCCATGTTGGATATGGATGTGCATGTTGTGCATGTTCAGGAAACATTCTCTGGAGATGAGCGTGGATGAGTAAATAAAATTCATGGATTGTGGTTTAAAAAAAGCAAGTCAATAGCTTGTTTTAGGTGCCTAAACTATTCAGTTTGCAATACATAGGGGAAAAAGAATGACTGGATAGCCTTTATATACCAATTGAGATTGGTGAATACTGCGATATGGCTTATTATACCAATGAATTAGTTAGTTGCAATATTCCATTATGCGAGAATCATCAACTTTTATCAACAGTTTGACGGTGCAGAAGTTTCCTTCTAGGAATCTGAATGTTATATTATGTAGAAACCATATAAATGAGAACAATGAGCTTAGAAGTAAAAACTACAGTTCCAGCAACACCAACTAAAGCAGAGGTAACATTGATAGTCTCACCAGAAATTTTAAGATTCTTCCCATGGAAACATCAATTCCTACTAAATGGCAAGTGAGATAAAAATCTCATGCACCCCCAAGCTTAAACCTACTGGACAAATTTTAAAGTATATGCCAGTAGCTAGCAACAAACAAATGATACCGCAATCTTGCAAAAAAAAAAAGGAAACAGAGAACTGATACATTACAACAATGCATGTCATTTCTTAGATATTAGTCACTACATACATGCCACATTTCAATATGGCAGTAGTCGCACTATAAAATCAGCCTAAGATTCTGATCAAATTTGCACATAATATCACAGTCAATGCACATAATTTCAATATGGCAGTAATAATTTATCTTGCTGCAGGCTCCAATTTGCACATATCTACTTCATTTTAATGCAGATGAACCAATCACAGAGGAGGGAATTGAAGCGTGTACATAATGATATATGCTAGTAAACAGGTGGGATAAAATCCATCCTACTTTCATCAGTTCATAATGATATTATAGCGGCACTCTACGGATCACAAACATATGCTAAATATTTTTTGCTGGGCGGTTCCAATTTGTATCACAGAACCAGCTTTTATGAGGGTGGAACTACACTACGTATGTTCAAGAATTATTGTATTTACACAGTCAAGTTGAACATCTAAGCAATGCAGCAGGTGACTGTAATACATTCCTTGATATCGAAAATTTTGGTTAAGCAGCGGACCATTGTTCCGTAAAGGCATAAACAAATAAAAAAGGACAGCAATCTCGACAGAACCTTGGAGATAAAATATATACTTACAATGATGAACTCCTCACGAGCTGAGATATTGATCAGTACTTTGAAAACACGATGTTGCACTGTAGAATAGATACATATGAAAACAATTAGTTCTATTCAACTCAGATTATGCCATTTCTATTAGGTACAATTGAATATTATAGTATAATCAAGAGTAATATAACACCCTAATGACATTATTAAATAAAGCATAATGCCAATGTAATTGATTCCATTGAAGCGTTTGTGTTTATATGCATATGAGTTTAGCATATTTTCTTGCAATGCTCATTGTTTTTACGACAATTGATAATTTAACACAGATGGACAAAGAAAGCCAGTACATATAATCCAGTATTTATTTACATGGAAAAAAATAATGAACCTGTTTTTATATTTTGTTTATATGCAAATGTTTGGAATATAATTTTTGTAGGACTATGAAAGTTATAGTTCAGAACTCAACGAAATCATAAACTATCAGGCGGAATAGTATCTTTTATATGAGCCGCACAACATATAATCTAATTACAGAATGTCATAATCTGTGTTTTATTCATCTAAACATATCGACAAAATTCATAACCTTCCTATAATGAGTTTGTTTATAATTCATTTCAACACAGTTGGACAAAGAAAAGGCAGTACATATAATCCAATATTTATTGACATGAAAATTGAAATTGAATTCACTATGCATGTTGTGCATGTGGGATATGGATGTGCATGTTCAGGAAATTCATAACTGGATAGATAAACATATCGAGGAAAGTATAGATATTTCTCATTCAATTTTAGCGAGCACTCAATTATTTAGCTTGAACTATCAGGCGGAATCTGAAATTATTTATAAATTAATTATAATTTTATATATGATTTCACTATTTGTGTAGAACAGAGTGTAAGCATCAATAGAATTGAAATGTACTTTAATTAAGGGGTTAATTACACACTAATGCCCTGCGTTACCATGTAATTAATTACACACGTGGCCTTTTCGCACTCGGCGTGAATAGTTCTGAGATCGCTAACAGATCTGGAAATCTAGACTACGACGTTTCTGAAAATGGGTTGGATGTGTCAAAGTGGTTGTTTCCTAGAAAATTATATTTTTGTTTGCATAAATTTTATGGAAACTCGGTAATCTAAAACTCCCGAAAGTGGCTCATTTCTTTGATGACCAGATCAGAGGTTTTTGATAGAAAGTGACGTGGAAGTCTAATATTTTGGCAACTAAATGTTATGAAGAGGTTACAATTGTATCTTCTTCTTTTTTTACGACCTGTCTCTTTCTTTCTCCTTTTCCTAAAAGATTGGTTCCCTTTATTTTTAGGTGTGTGCCAAGCTATAGATTTTGAAGGAACTGCATTTCTCCTCTTGCTTTAAGGGTGAAACAAACAAACAAGATCAATTCTGGAATATGCATAGAAATCTACGAAAATAGATATTATGGTAGAAAACTTATATCCATAAATTTATGAAAATGAAACAAATGCGCCCCACGTTTTTCTTCTCTTCTTGAATGCGGATATCGCCGTTTCGCTGAAGACTTTTTTTTCACTTCTATCATCGTATTCATAGACTAAATTTCTTTATTATTTAATTCTTTCAATTGAATTCCGAATTCAAGAGAGTAAACATAAATCATGTGAACAACATGAGATCAAAAATCTATAAAGGAATTAAGATATCATACTAAATCAAATTCATAAAAATCAAAATCATAAAACTCATTCATACTGAGCCGTATTTTTCTCGATTAAGCAAGGAAATTCAGTGATGATTACAGCATCAATATCAAGTTTATTACACCATGCGGAAGAGGAAATCATGAACTATTAGGCGGAAGTTGAAATCAATTTTATCAAACTCAGTGACGAAATCATGAAATCAAGGCAAAGGTTTACCTGGAGAAGAAATCTCTCACACCGACGCAGAAGATGGACTCAATCCTCTCTATCTTTTCTTTAATCTTTTCTTTAGGCGGAATAGGGAAGAAGAGGGGATTTCATGATTTCTTTAGACGGAATAGGGAAGAAGAGGGGAACAGAGCAACCGGCAAGTTGATTGTGGGGAAGTTGAGCAACGTGGCTTTCGTGAGTGGGGAAGATATCGCAACGTGTCCGAAGTTCTCTCACGTGGCAAATTTGAAGGAATGGCGGTAAAAATGGGCGGTTGTGAAAACACGATTTACGTTTACAATGGACGGATGTGAGAGATTTAATTAATAATGGATTTTTACAATGGACGGCTGTGGTTTTCTGAGGTTAATTGCTTTATGAACGGACGGATGCTATTAAATGTTCTAAAAATACTTGGATATTAAAAAAAATTACTGTTCACACAGAGATTTTCCTTTAGTTATAAAGGAAAGTAGATTCCGCTACGCAACGAAGCAGTTGGAAGTGGTCTCTTATCTCCTTCGATTACGCATGAACTAAATTCCCTAACCATCCATTAATTAAATCCAGCATATATAATTAGAAACAAAACTCGAACCGAATTAAGTTTTAATTATAATTTATTTGCGTAGATATATAATTAAATAATAGAGTACGTGCGTCCAACCTTCTCTCCTCTTTAAACGACGACTCGCGTCCTAACCCCGAAGAAATCCGTCCCCCTAATATTTTGATTATCCTTGATCGCCATTGAGAGGAATTCTCTATTGTTGATTTCTTTGTTGGAGTTGGTAGCGGTTGTTGGAGAAAAAACAAAAAGAAATCCTTTTTCTATTTGGTTCCTTTTTTTTTTCCTTTGCTTTCGTTGTTGTGAGGATGATTTGGGAATTAACTGCCAGATGATGGTTGCCCTTGATAGAAATTACAATGTATATTGCTCGCTTTTTTACCAAGGTTTTGTTTTCCTCCTGATTATTATTTTTTTCTTCTGTCGACGAATAAATTGTGATATTTGGGACAGATTTTAGTTGTGTTTTTGGTTCTGGTTTCAGCTGTGGAGGAGGATTTCGACAGAGGTGACTGTAGAACTGCAAATATTTCTGGGGAATTGGAAACTTGTGCTCGCGGGTCTCATATTTCAGGTAACATTATAGATTAATCCGAATTTAGATCAGAGGGTGAAAATGTTGATTTAGCCCATTTGAAGGTAAAATTACTGGAGTTGTGTAAATTATTGTATACATCTGCTATAGATTCGAGGTATCTGATTAGGTTCTTTTTTTTTTAAAGCATTTGGGATTTGTTGAGTTGGCATTGACGAAATGTGTTAGTCTTTGACAATGCAACAGGAATAATTTCGGTCATGTTTGTAGGAACAGCATTTTACATATAGGGGTAATGTTTGATGCATGGTCAATTTGATGGCATCTAATTTTTACACCAATTTTTTTTTTTTTTTTGCCCTGGAACTTTGTAATTTTGACTGAGGGGCATTAATTATGCATCCGAGTTCTGACCATAGAAGAAGATGGGGTTAATCTATGAAGCCTCTTCTCTTGATCTAAATTCTTAACGGAGGTGAATAATTTATCTGGATTTTCCTTCTTCCAGCCCTTTAATTGCCGTTGTACAGCCTCTTCATGAATGATCACTCTTAAAGAATTATCATGTTCATGTACAAATACCTTTCACTGTAGAGCTAGATGATTGTCAGAAAATATTCTGCAGTAGAAGCAATTTGACCATATTCTTCAATTAAGATATATATTTATAGTAAATTATATTATTCGTTTGTTTTTTATGATTCTTTTGTTACCTGTTTCCTTCCACGAACACACACACGCGCACACACACACGAACACACACACGAAAGCATATGCTGAAATATTATGATTCATTTATTATATTGTTGCTATGTGATTCTTTTGTTACCTGTTTCCTTCCAGTAAGAAAATATTCATTGTTTTGCTTATAATTATCTCACAATCTCTCTCTCTCTCTCTCAGAATATACATCATGTTCTTTTAGAAAAATGTTTTCGTTGACAATGCATGCATAAAATTAGATACTTATGTCTTGACTTTGCCTGTTCTTAGTACATTCATGGTCTGGCTGTTCATGGAGTTCACTATTTACATCAACGTCTTGACTTTGCCTGTTCTTAGTACATTCATGGTCTGGCTGTTCATGGAGTTCACTATTTACATCAACCTGGGCCTGTTCTCCAAGATCTTGGGTTCATTCTCCTCCCGGTATTTAATTACTCTAACGGATAACATATTTTCTGGATTAATTAATCGTAACTTGTTGAAGAAGCTATTTAAGGGGACAAAGATATTCTTTCCTCTCTTACTTGGGATGTCATTTAGTTTGTTGTGTTTATTTTCTTGTTTAGGAGCTTGGAAAAGAGAAATTTTACATCAGTGAGACTTCGTTCTCCGTCATCTTTTTCCCATTTATATTGGTATGCCCTTTGTCCACTATCTTATGTCTGTTCATCGACTTGTTAAAATTTTCTCATTCATCTTTTTAATTCCTGCAGTGGACGTTTCATCCTTTTGTTTATAAAACCAAACGTTTCTACACGGTTCTATTATGGCGTAGGGTATTGGCTTGTATAGTTGTAAGTTCTTGGACATTATCCCTTTATGTCTTTAGGTATCTTCATTATGCTCTAATCTAACAGAAATGACTCCTGCAGACTTCTCAGTTCTTGCGGATCATTACATTCTATTCTACACATCTTCCTGGCCCTAGTTATCACTGCCGTGAAGTATGTAAGCTTCACTAGGATTTGCTTCTGTTAATTTCTTTGATAATATTCTATATTTCAGACCACCGAACATGATTCATCAATTGCATCTCACGACAGCTGCTTAAAATCAAATAACCTGTTAATATCGTGCAGGGCTCAGAAATTGCTAGATTGCCACCACCTGAAAATATACTTGAAGTAATTCTTCTTAATTGTAAGCAACTCAGTTTGTGGGCTTCAGATCTTCAGAAAGATGAATTGTCCTGTTATCTTGACATTCATTGGTGCTCCTTCTTGCAGTTCCTCAAGGAGTTATGTACGGATGCGGTGATTTGATATTTTCATCTCACATGATATTTACCCTGGTATTTGTGCGGACATACAATAAGTATGGCTCTGTAAGGTAAAAGTTGAAAGAAAGTTCAAGGTCATAGTTAATACTGCGTGCTTCTCTAATAGGCATCTCAACTTTCTCTTACATCATCTTTCATTTAAAGCAAGATGCACAAAACAAAGTTATTCAAAGTTTGCATGCAGGTTGATCAAGACACTTTCTTGGTTGATGGCCATCATGCAGAGCCTACTTATAATTGCGTCTCGCAAGCATTACTCAGTGGACGTTGTTGTTGCATGGTACGGTGGAAAATTTATTGATTAATTTTGGTTTCTGACTTTATCATATATTGTGTCTCTTCAATCATTTAGCATGTCTTCACTCCAGGTACACTGTAAATTTGGTGGTATTTTTTATTGACCAGAAATTAACAGGTTTGTTTGCTTTTCTTCTTTAAGATTTTTTTAACGTGTTGTTTCTCATATGAGTCTCCGAAGCATATGGTTTTGGTTACCTGCATACTGTCAACCTGAATGTAGATATATGCTTTTCTTTGTCCATTCGAAGATAGAGTCAGCAACCACTTTCTCTTTCATTTTTTTGGTCAGAAATTGTTTCTCCTCATATAAACTGAATGGCGAGCTTCAATGATTCTAGTTTCTTGAAAGTAAAAAACCTAGGTGCATGCCGTAGATGAACTGGAGATGGAAATGATTTAGGCTATGCTTTCTCTTTCATAATGATGCACAGTTGCTTATCCTCTTCCTACAGTTGGCGTTGGAAGCAAAGACTTCTGTGATGCCTCAGTAGGAAAACTATGTTCTTGTGTGCAGTTTAACATCTATATATCTCTCTGTGCGTGCGTGCGAGCTTGCGCGCATGGTTTAAAAAACTAACACATGCGGCTTTAAAAATAAAAATAAAAATAATGTTTTTTTTTTTGCAGAACTGCCTGACAGAACTGGCAGCAGTGGATCATTGTTGCCCCTGAACAACAGAGACAAAACTAAGGAGGAGAACAAGCAGCTGCTGAATGATACTGCTGATAGGGTACAACACCTCTTCCAAATCATTATAGACAGTGGCATTCTCTTGCAATGTTGAAAGGAAACTTGGAAAAGTTTGCTCTTGTTTTCTATTTTTTCTATTTTTTTAAAAAACCCAATTTCTTTATTTTTTATTATTTGGTGGTCTAAATATCATTCTTGATTTATGTTCAGAGACAGAGAATACAAATGAGTGGGAAGAATCAGGATAATGGGAACAATCTCCATTTTGAAGAAGTTTAAGTGGCGCGCGTAAATGATGATGGGCAGCTTGAATCCTAGGTCGGTGATGTGCTGCAGGCTTGCATGCAGGCTTGGATTCGTCAAAATCCGCTTTACTTAGCTTGCAGATAATTTAGAGTATAAACGTAGTAGAGATTGACCATGAATGCTTTCAGCTTACCGCACTGTAATCAATTCACTAGCGCCTTTTTTTTGTTTTTGTGCTTTGCCCTGCCTTTCCGAAGATAGATGTCTTAGCAATTTTTTTCTTCTTCTTCTTAATTACACTACAATCGCCTAATATTCATTTAAGGAACTCGAATATCTGTGAGCATTGTCTTGAAACAAGGCCTCCAAAATTAATGAACGCCCAACATTCAGAATATACGAGAAAACATGGAATAAGAGCTCGTTCGTACATAAGATTTGTTACTTTTCCTTTCAAATGTAAAAATGGCTTGCAAGTAGTTACTGTAGCTAGCTATCGCGGTAGCGATACAAATGGAAGTCACGATGGCCAAGCAGTTAAGCAGACTACTCGAATCTAATTTGATTGCTGAAGAAAGCTGCAATTCTTTACGTCTATCGTCTACTGTTACTGAGGAGGTGCCCAACCAAGTTTGTTACCTGCAAACATGAGCGAAAGTTAAAACTCGGGGGAAATGAAATTGGCAACGACCCCCCGCCAAAGAAACGTCTGAAGTAATCAAATTCCCACTTAAAGTTGCCACATTCTCTCATGGTCCAGGGATTGTCTACAGAAATACAAGAGTATAGAATACAGGATTGAGCAGAGATTCCTGACCTTCCATCACAACCAAAATTCTTCCCCGAGAAAGGTTTTTCAGTTAACATTAAAGGGTTACTAGAAATGGGTAAAATGACAGCCAGCTGAAAGTTTGAGAAATGAGCTGAGAAATTTTAATTCAGGTCCAAATGCCAAATTAAGTAGCATATATGAGAGAATGAAGACTGGAAATGAAGTTCTAGATTCCAACTGAAGCAATTGAAAGTACAACCTCATTAGCAAGGATTTGAACAGCAGGAAAGAAAATTTAAAGCCCTCAAAAAGATGGCAAATTCTAACAATCAATCGCCACATCATATATGAGAGAACCTTGTATCATCTGGTCAAAATCCTTCCTGATTTATCTCCCATTTATCTATTTTTCAACTTTCTAATCTTGAGCAACCATATCTAAGAAGGAGATTATCATAGCTATTTACCTGCCAATATTTTGAGACGCAACGATCATGAGCAACCATATCTAAGAAGGAGATTATCATAGCTATTTACCTGCCAATATTTTGAGACGCAACGATCAATACAACTGTTCTCACCCATATATATTATCATAGCTATTTACCTGCCAATATTTTGAGACGCAACGATCAATACAACTGTTCTCACCCATATAAAGCTCAGCTTCTTTATATCTGGAAAAAGAAAACGAAACAAGGGTGCTTGAATTCTCTCATGCTCAAACTCAATTAGATGTTCCTATCTACAATCAAAGATGCAAAATATGGTTACACTTGGGGAGATAATAATTAATCAAAGGAAAAAAGACCCAAGTAACCTACACGAAAAATTCCTCAAGGACCCAAAATATGGGATCAATAGAGGGGACAAGTGAGGTGTCTCCCTCCTATTGGATAATGAGTTGACCATCATTAATGATGACCAACCCATTATCCAATAAGAGGGAGACACCTCATTTGTCCCATCAATTGGTCCCATATTTTGGGTCCCTGTAGCAAAACTCAACCTACACACAAAAAGATTGAAAGACAATAAATTTCAGCGTGTACCTTTTCTCAACACATTTATTAAAGCAAGTGCGGGTGAGCCTGCAACAGATATTAAAAAAAAAAAGAGTTAAAATCAGCTTACAGTCTAATAGCTACATGATTGATGATTACATAAATTGATCGTGGCAGGTTGTCACCAAATTCGATTTTACTGAAAATGCTTGAAACACGTGCTAAAATTTTCAAGTCGTCCGATGGATTTTGCAAATTTCAAGATTTCTGTTACTAGTGCACACCCCTACTAACTTAAACTGAGCATTATCACGTGAGGCATGATGAGCTTATATAGGCACAACCTACTTCCTCTTTTACTATCAAAACAATTTCTCAAAATATGTCAGGGATGGAGCTGAACTGGAATTGAACTAAAGCTGAAACTGGAGCTGGAAATGGTGCACAGGAAGTTGGAAAACAGAAGCACTGAAAGAGATTGAACCTAGGCTTGGGAGGGTCTGTTTTGCAATACTTTTAAGTTCAGGATGGATGTAATAAATGTCCAAGGTTGTTACAGACAGTTAACCAAGGTTGTTACAGACAGTTAAAGTCTGTTTTGTTTGTTTTGAGTCTGTGCACGTTTTGTGCACGTTTTCTTGTTTTGTTGTTTTAGCGACAGTATAAAAGGAGAAATGTAAGCAGAGATCAACATGAATGAAAAATATTGATTTCTTCTCCTCGACTCAATCTTAATCTTCCCCTTTCTCAACTTCTCTCTAGTTCTTTCTATTTCCTCTCTATTTTCCTTCCTTTCTCTGTTCTTTACAGGTTCTTCATAGCAAGAGTATGGTTAGGAGGTACAATCGAGGAGCAAGATCCAGCTCCAGTTTCAGCTTTAGTTCAATTCCAGTTCAGCTCCATCCCTGACAAAATATTAATGATTCGGCATGAACCTATGAGAAAAAAAAAATTATCTTACTTGTTGAAGAGGTCTACTCTGTATTCCATCTCTCTCTCAGCCATTCCTAGGATCTGTTCGTTGAGAGTCAAATAATAAATTCACGTAAAAAGCTTAGAAATATTCGTTCATAAAGAACCGCGGAAAAAAACAACAACAACAACAACAGGAAATAGAAATATTTGTCAAAAAACTGCATACCTCCTCTTTCTGAAGATTCGATGGGGAACCATTATTGGCAGCCATTAGGAAAAGTCTTTATTCCGGTAAAACCTAATCAAGAAACCTAAAGGAAAGGGAAATCTTGGAGAAGGGGGGAACCTAGGGTTTTATATTAAAGAGGCGGCATGAAAACTGGTTACTTGACGAATGGGCAGTAGTGGGCTTGGACTATTGGGCCCAAAATCATTCGGCCCGAACCCGACCCGGGCACGCTGTAGCTACCTGCTCCCGGTCAACTTGGAACGAAGAGTTTCTCTATTCACTTCAGGGAATCTTTTTATTTCTGAAATTAAATTTAATCACAAATGACAATCTTATTAAACCTCTATTGGTATATGAATTCTTAACCGCGAGCTAAATTTTACTTGTCATTTTAGAAAATCATTTTCCGTGATTCAACGGACAAATGAACTTAACGAAAATATTAGCAAAGATAAGAGTGAAAGACAACATAAGATTAGAAGAAATTTTCTAAACAAACACATTCATAATTTTTTTCTAAAAATAGGCCTCATTGAGTTTTTTTTTTTAAAAATTGACCAATTTTGTCTTAATCCGGTTTCTAAACAGTCGGGGTTATCAACCCCGACTATTTAGTGCATAGAATGTTAGGGTTTAGAGTTATAATTGGGGGTTTACAACCTCCTAAATAGTCGAGGTTAGTATCCCCGACTATTTAGGAACCGGATTAAGATAAAATGAGTCTATTTTTATAAATAAAACTCAAGAGGATCTATTTTTAGAAAAAAAAATGAATGAATTTATTTAGAAAATTTCTTCTATAAGATTAATTTGTAACCGCTGTCGTCACTTTTCAAAAAAAATCAAAAAAAAAAAAAAATGCCGGTACTTTTCAACATATGGTAGATGAATTGAGTAGCATAACAATTATGCTGCCATCACACACCAAGATACGCATCAAAAGAGATCGCAGATAACCGCATGTAACCAATAAAGCAAGGGACTAAAATTAAGATGAACGTCACTGCAGAACACTAGTTCTTGGTTGAGTTGCTAAATCCTCATTTTATCAATTTCGCTCGCATATATAGAATACTCACAGCAAGTTGATCAACAGATTACTACGAACCGACAGAACCAAAAATTTCACCCAGACATCTTTCTTATTGGCGTATTTCGACAATGCAACAAAGGCTGTTGCCTCCCAAGGGCCAACACTTCTTATTTTTATTGTGCTTTTTGTGCAGGGATCAACTTCAGGTATTGAAGCGAAAGAGCCAGGAGACGACAAAGGCGAATATTAAGCAAGCGAGCAGGAGGTTGAGGAAGCGATGTCCTCGCCAAAATCTACAGGTTTCGTTTGGACGTGCTGATGCGACAATATGACTGTAAGCTTCGTTCAAATGCTCAGGGTTTCCCACATTCTTCGCTGTGGAGCCACAAATCTCACATGTCCTGGAATAATAACAATACAGAATTAAGGGTTAAAATAATTGGATCAACAGCAAGATACATGTTTTTGATGGATATTACGAGAATAGCGCAATTGATATGTGTGGCAAAAACTCCTTTGCAGAAACGCACATAGTTTAAATAGGTACCATCGCCAAGCACCATGCAAATTCCTCAATTGTGGAAAAGAACATCTATAAGTGGTGTAACATATAGTATATGCAAAATTATCAAGGGAAAAAAAATCATCTAATGCTCTAGTCTACAGATAAAGTATCTATCGTTACAATTCATTGAGAGAGTCTACAGATAAAGTATCTATCGTTACAATTCATTGAGAGAGACAGAGAAAAAAATCAACTGTTGGCAGGCAGCGCTTCAAGCAACGATCTAGTATGAAATAAAGCTGATATAGCAACAGAAAGGGGCTATGGAGCTTGATGCCTAAACTGACGAGTTCAACGAAATTCTATGGCGACAAGAATGCCAGCAACTTGTAATGTCAGATTTTAGCTTCAGAAATAATTGAAGTCTTTTTAACCATGATGCACCTAGTTCAGCAAAAGGATCTGCAATTTTGGACCATGGAGGGTTATCCTGAGATATCAGGCTTGTATCCTGTAGATTGTAAAATATCATAGTATATTCTCAAAGATGATGGTAAGAGTTAGAAAATTGTTTGTATTTGTGTATCATAAAGTATTACAGAATGCTTAACATGGCCTTTGATTAAGAAACCGTAGTTAAATTAGGAATGCAGATCTTATTTTGGTTGTATATCTGAGCCTTTCGCTTGTAGATACGTGGCTTGATGTGTTTTGGGGGTGTAAGGAATGTAAATGAGGTGATGGGCTATACCATGACACAGATTATACCTTTGAAGTTGGATGAATAATCTATAACTCTGTTTTACAACCAATTTCAGGTAATGGTAAAGGTGGCCAGGGCTTATATCTGAGCCTTTCGCTTGTAGATACGTGGCTTGATGTGTTTTGGGGGTGTAAGGAATGTAAATGAGGTGATGGGCTATACCATGACACAGATTATACCTTTGAAGTTGGATGAATAATCTATAACTCTGTTTTACAACCAATTTCAGGTAATGGTAAAGGTGGCCAGGGCT